CCTCCCTCAAGACCGCCCGCTGCCAGACAGTCCAGTTTCTCCCCGTATGAGTCCTGGGTCCCCAGAGACTTCCCGGAACCGGAGTTCAGAGCCGTCGGGTGCTTGTGACTCCCTCCGGATTCAAAAAGGCAGCTGCGTCCTCAGGTGCCAGACCCTTTCCGCGCGTGCGAGCCCCCTACCTCTGCGCTTTACTTCTGCAGCTCCTCTGGCTCTCAATGTGCGTTTCTTTCCTTCTAGTTGTAGAATTTACACTCAGCCAGGCTTCCTGTGGTTCTGGATGATGTCCGTATTGTGTTTTTGAGGTATTATTCAATTGTTGTGAGAGGCAGCAATTTCCCGGTGTTTATCTACGCCGCCATCTTAGTTTTCTCTGGGCATTTTCTGATAGGTGAGAAGTGGATGTGAACACTAAAAGTTTGGATTGCAGCCAGAGCCTTGAATGTCAGATTAAAGAATTTGGATTTTAAATTGTAAGCAGTGGGAAACCATTGAATATTTTTGAGCAGAGCAGTAACGTGATTATAGTTGGTGGGAGAATATCTGGCAGATGAATAATAAAGAGAAGTGCTCAGCTCCACTATTCTCCTTCTGCAAATGGGGGATATGTAGGGTCCTTGATTGAAGTTCTTGTTTGTTCTGTTAAATTGCTACTTTAATATTCAGCTTTGGTTTTGTGTTTTGCTTTTCCTTTCTATCTTCTGTATCAGGCTCATTTGCTTTTAAGACTTCTAAAAATTTTTGTTTGTTAGTTTATTTTATTCATTAGATTCCACATAAGAGTGAATCATATGGCACCTGTCTTTCTCTGATTGGCTTATTTCATTTTTCATAATACTTTCCATATCCATCCATGATGTCACAAAGGGTAAGATTGCCTTCTTTCTTTTACAGCCAATTAGTATTCCATTCTGTAAATGTATCATAGCTTTTTTATCCAATCACCTACTGATGTGCACCTGGGCAGCTTCCAAATCTTGGATATTGTAAATAACACTGCAAAGACCATAAGGGTGCATATATTCCTTTGAATTAGTGTTTTGGGCTTCTTTGGGTAAATACCCAGAAGTGGGATCACTGGGTCAAATGGCAGTTCCATTTTTACTTTTTTGAGGTAACTACATACTGTTTTTTACAGTGGCTGCACCACTCTGCATTCCCACTAGCAAGCAGTACACTTTTCTTCACATCCTTGCCAGTACTTATTGTTGGTTGATTTGCTTTTAAGACTTTTAAATGTTTATAATTTCATTTCACTTTATCCTTTCATTTAAAATGGTGTGAACACTATAAATATCTAAAAATAATAAATGGACTCAAATTGCTATAACTTATCAACATGGTTGTTATGAAACTTATCTTCATTCTCATGGTTTAAAACTATCTCTAGTTGACTAAATGGAAATATTATCATATTCGTGGCTGAAAAGAACAAATATTATAAAAATATTAAATTTTTTCAATTTAACTTTTAGGTAGAAAATAATTCCAGTTAGAATGCTAAGAATTCTCCTTTTGTATATACATGAGCATTTATATATGTGTGTTGGGGGATGCAATTTATAGTGTAATTCTAAAGTTCCTCGAATAAACAGGCCTACAGCATAAGAGAAAATAAAGGTCACTACATAATACTAAAGATATTGATCCAACAAGAAGATATACCCATGGTAAACATGTGTACACTCAATATAGAGGCACCTAGATATATTTAAAAAAACTTCTAGAGGACTGTAAGGGAGAGATGGACAGCAATACAGGCATAGTAGGGGACTGTAACAACTGCTGACTCTACTGGATAGATATTCCAGACAAAAAATTAACAAGGAAACTGACTTTAAATGACACACTGGATCACAATGATTTGATTGACATTTATAGAACATTTCATACCAAAGCTGCAGAATATACATTCTTCTCAGGTGCACATGTGTCATTTCAAAGATAGGCCACATATTAGAAACAAAACAAGTCTCTACACGTTCAAGAAGATTGAATCATATAAAGCATCTTCTCAGATCACAGTGGAATGAAATTAGAAATTAACTACGGTAAAAACACCCAATAACATTCAAACACAGGGAAGCTAAATAGCATGTTATTAAACAATGAATGGGTTACCAATGAGATCAAGAAAGAAATAAAAAACTTCCTGGAAATAAATGAAGATGAACACACAACAACCCCAAATTTCTGGGACTGCTTCCCTCAGCAGTCCTGAGAGGGAAGTTCATAGCACTACCAGCCTACTTCAAAAAACAAGAAAAATTATTAATAAACTAACCCGGCAACTTAAAGAATTAGAGAATAACAATGATAAAAACAGATTAAGTAGAGGGAAGGAAGTGAAGTTTAGAGCAGAAATAAATGACATAGAGACTAAAAAAATAAAATAAAATAGCCCTGGCTGGTTTTGCTCAGTGAATAGAGCATCAGCCTGCGGACTCAAGGGTCCCAGGTTCAATTCTGGTCAG